TTTGTCTCCATTCAAACCAGGTTTAAAGCCTTGCAGGGCAGCATGAAGCCCTCTGCTCTCATTAAACCTGAAAAGAAGAAGAAAAAAATTACGTCAAATCATCAAACAGTCCATTCAGGTGTTTTATAAAATATGTGAATCAGGAAATTGTCTATATACCAAACTGAATGATTGTTGTTCTCTACTTAAAAAAAAAATTGGACCCTGCTGATTTTCAATTGGTTTCCCCTGCTGTAGCGAATCTCAAGACCCAGGAATTGTTTGGGCCATGATCCCTGGTTTGAAAACTAAAGCTCTACAGAGGTGTGACGGATAGTTTGGGCTCTTCTAACTTCTAACACTTTAGTTGCATTGATGCGATCTTGCCATGTTTAAGCTAAATTGTAAGATGTTCTAAACATCAGTTTAAATTGTTTTCTCATCACATCAATCAAAATGAATATAACTGTTAACAAGCTCTGGAAGCTTTTTTAGCCTATTCTTTGCATTGCTAAAAAAAAAAGTAAATTCCCCTCTTTAAACACTCCTCAATGTTAATCTCTAGTCTCACTGTTTTTGCATTCAAACTAGACGCTGCGGTTTAATCAGACAAACAATCTCAGCTCCTTGTCTGCTCAGTGATTCTGAGCTGCTGTCTGTGTCTGAGGAAGCTAATTTTTATGGGGTTCTGTGCTAAAATGAGGACCTGCTGCTGATGGATTTAATAAAACTGAGCTGCAGCCTGCCCTTGAGAGAGCAGCTCAAAACATCAGGCTTTATGACAAGGCACTTTGCACTCACACTGAATATTACCCTGATTCTCATCTTGGCTGGTGTCAGGAATGCTGACTTTGTGTGTCTGTCTGTCCCCTCTCAGTAAGAGGATAATAAATCTGGGTCCTGTTCATCCCGGACCGGCGAGCCCAGACCCTCAGCCTGCTGGAGCCAGAGTCTCGTGTGGACACTGCAGCAACACCTTCCTGGTAACATCTTTCTTCTCAAAAACTCCTTCATTCAGAATGAATGAAATAGGTTCCCAGTACAGCTTGTGGAAAGTATCTTTGGTTGAATTACCTGAACAGGTTGGTATTTTAGGGAATTTGGTGGCCTAAAAGCATCTAAAAGTGAACTAAAAAGGGATTTTTGGGCAGCTGAGAAATCCAGGATGAATTCTGTCTGAACGTTTTGTCCAGCTCATCTCCCAGTATTTAAAATCTCGCCAAATACAGTGATTACGCCTTAGATATGGTGTTGATTCAGTAAAAGTGCAGCAAACGAAGAAAGGAGCTGCAAAAACATGATGCAAACTCCCAAAACACACAAGCACAAGAGAAAAATGCGCTGTAAACTAAATAAAAAAATAATAAAGCAATCACAAAAATAGAAGCAACAGCTGACAATCAAAAACACAAATGCATGCAGGAAATGCTGCAACCAAAAACAAAAAGCAACAAGCAAAACACAATACTGCAATCACAGAAAAAATAAAATGCAAATAGTGAAAAACGGCAGCAAACTCGCGCCACAAAGCGGATATGCTCCAGACCACTAGAGGGAGTCGAACAAATAAACCTTATCAGACCAGACTCCCTTATACTCACAGGAAGTCAAACTTTAATGGGATTATTTTTTTTAAAGGAGGTTGGATGAAGAAGGAAGTCTTACAGTACTACATAATATCAGCATAGTTATGTATAGTTATATATATATATATATATATATATATATATATAAGTAACACTCTGTTCTGATATGATTTGTTTTACGCCCTCTAGTGGTCCAGACCATTTCTGTTTTGTGGAGCAAATTTACACAGTTTGAACTATGTGCATCGTTTTCTTTCTGTAATTGCATCATTTTTTTTTTTATGTATTTGTTTTGTCGATTGTATGTTTTTGCTTTTACTTCAGTGATTGCAGCATTTTCTTCACATGCATTTGTTTTTTGTGTGTTAGCAAGTTTAGGAGTTTGCATTATACGTGTGTTTGCAGCTTATTTTGCCGTCAATTTTTTTTTCTTTTGTGCTTTCATATTTTGAAATTTACATCACACATTCTTAGATAGCTTGTTTCTTTGTCTGCTTTACACCTGTAGGTTATGTATATTCTATGTATATTTTAGAGTAGTAGTTGTTATGCTTTTATAACACAGATGTTTAGGTCCATGACTCCGGAGAAATTAATTTCTAAGATAATACTTACAATAGATGGCAAAACTCTAGTAACACTGTTGCAAAGAGTAGTTTCACTGTGGATTGATGCTAAAAGCAGAGAGTAGTTTGCCCTTTGATTCTTCTGTGACTTCTTTCTCTACACCTGAAGCATCAGGGGGGAATTTCTGTGGATCTTCAAATATTTTTGTTATGAAACATGCTGGTGCAGGTAAATTATTAAAAAGGCAGGACATCCTTCCTTTGAGCCAAGAGAATGTTGAGTTATAGCTTAGAATCAATAACCATAACAACACACTGCTGATGTATAATGGTCATTTCATGTTGGAGAGAAAGAAACATTTTTCTTTGCTGCTGTTTTATGACAAACTTCAAGATGAGTAAAGATGGTTTGGAAATGCATGATGGAATGAAGGACATGGTCACAGTTGAAGAGGAATTGTATGAAATGATGCAGAGGGACGCTTTAGAAATTAGCTGAGTGTTGTGCAACGCCTAAAGATGCGATGGCTGACTGGAAAAACAAATCTCTGCTGGTGGCTTTAAAAGCTAATTAGTTGTCACCCAAGTGGTGATGGTTGTTGGTGTGGCTCTGGAGGATCTTTTAGCTCCACATGTAGATTCATTTGGCTTTTTTGGGGTGAAATTATCATAGTTTGTTTGAGAAAAGAATAGAATTGAAGTAGAGGTATTTAGTGAAAGCATAAAAAGTGCAACGCCTGTTGGAAGAAATTAAGACTGGTTATCGATTTGATTCTAAATCTCAAGATTTAGAAAACGATTATTTTCCATCCATTCCAATCTGGTCCGGTTTCAATTTGGATTGCTGGAATAAAACCCCTTTTTTTTCAGCGTTTAGCTGAATTACATGAGTGTGTATTGTTGTTATGCAACATAATGATACTAGTGTTAGGATTAGTGTTGCGCCGATGCCATTTTTTAGCCCCGGTACCCGATACCTGGCTGTGCAGTATTTGCCGATACCATACCGATGCCATCTGTTTGAAATTGATGTGTGTGTATACATATGAAGAACTGACTTCTACTTGGATGTAAAATAATTGCCGTCATGGTTTTGTCAAGCTGCTGCCTACCTTTGTGAAGCAGGAAAAATACTAATACAAAGTGAATCCAGTAGAACATTTTATTGCCTACCTGGAACGGGTGACAATAGTTGAATAAACTTTTGTATCTCAAAATGGTACCGGTGCCCTGTTGTTTGGTACTCGCCGATACCACCATTTTAGTTCTTCGATCGAGGCCACGCCCGATACTGGTATTGGTGCAACACTAGTTATCATTTATCAGAGAATTAATTAAATAAGAGATCATGGTGGCAGGAAGGACAGGGGAACATGTTTTTTATTATTATTTATATTTGGTTACATGTATCGATCTTTTTGAATCATTAAGAATTAGTGAGAATCGATTCAGAATTGTAAAAAAAGAGAAGGAAAAAAACACAGCGCTTTGCAGAACACTTGGTAATTGTTTATAACTGTGCCTTTAATTTTAGCGAATGTGCAGCTCTCTTCCTGGCTTCACTGGATGCTCATATTTTTGACCTTTTGTGATTTCAGTGGACAGAGTTCACAGACCGGACGCTGGCCAGGTGCCCGCACTGCAGGAAAGTGTAAGTAGTGTTGGATGAATCACCTTTTTGTTTTGTTTTTTTACACCAGTTGACTTTTCCTCTTGTTATACGACTCATCTTTACATTAAAAAAGATTCAGATTATTATACTATACTACTATACTATACTTTCAAACTGTTTAAAATATGTTTTGCCCTCCAGGATTAAGGTTGAGCTGCAGTCCATGTTTCTCTAATATATAAATAAACATCACTGCACAACCTTCTTCTGATCAGTAGGAAGGGAAATAAAATGGGCAGGCATCACTAGCTGAGAGCAGCAGTTTGGAGAGGGTGGTTTTTATCATTTGTTTTTAATAGACAAATCTCTTCAGCAGTCCAGTGTAAAGAAATAGAAATTATTTTATTTTTAGTTCTGGGGAAGTTTAAAATAAGGAATAAGTTAGTTTTTTTTTTTTTCAAGGTTTAGTCTCTCCCATAATCTAGATATTGTGTCTGTTTATTAATTCACAGTAATGAAAGAAAACAAACATGAAACAAAATGCAAAATTAGACTATATAAGAACATCAGATTTCAGTCATAATCTCTAAATAAAAATATCTGACCCCTGAGGTAAGATAACAAAGTGCAGCAACTTTTCTGTACTTAAAGTTAGTTTTTTTTTTTTCAAGGTTTAGTCTTTCCTATAATCTAGATATTGTGCCTGTTTATCTGTGTTTACATTCATGCATTTTGCAGCTTTTATCAAAAGTTACTTACAATTATGTGTATATTAATGTCTTTAATATCCATACTACTCAAAGAGAAAACCTCTAGTCAGGTTCTATCTGAGGTAACCGGTTATCCTGCAGACGTAGAGGTTTGTTCATCCATTCAAGCTGCTGTTAATTCATCCATCCCTTCGTCAGTCAAGGTTTAATGACATTTCTATTGCACTCCTGAACTGTACAGAGACATCTGTTGTAAAGTCGTTCTAAAGTTTAGCAAATTCTTTAAAAATCACAGAAAACTTAGTGGGAGTTTTTATTCTGGAAAAGTTCCTTGAGTCGATTGCTCATTGAATTTGTGTTTCTGACAGGAAAGGAACAAAAAAACAATTGAATGGAGGGAAATTTAACCTGTTTGTTCTTTTTTTTCACAATTAGATAGAAAAAAGGTCTAAAATGCCAATCTTTCTTTAAAATTATTGGAAAAATCTTGGGCCTTACAGCAATAAAGCCCTCCTTACAGTAGATATCCAGGTTCCCATTCTGGCTCAGTAATAATCTAGGCCTGAAAGCAGATTAAAAAGTTCAAAAAATGCATAAAAAAGGCCAGGTTGAACAAAAATCGTGTCAGAAATGGTTTAGATCGTTGCCCGATGGCGAGAGCAGAGAATTGGTAAAATACAAGGACAGGAAAATGAAATATTAAAAACTGCAGCAAAGCGTTTTGCTTTGTTTTTTAGCTTTAAAAATGTATACACCTTGGGGGAGGAAAACACCTCAAGCAAAAAGCAAACGGCAGGAAAAGGAAAAGTCAATATCTGTATCCAAAGAATTCAGCTAAATCAACACGATTTCCGATCAGCAGAAACCTTTAAAGTGACTTTAGAGAAATAGGATTCAGAGGATAAGAGGAAAGTAACATTTGGTGAGGTGTCATATCAGCATTATGGATAAGGATGAGCCTGCTGGAATGATATTTGAGGGCAAGTCCAGTAAATTACATAAATATGATTCCCGCAGTCACCGATGGTAAAGATGAGGAACATCTCTGCAGGTGGACGATATATTGTTAGCTTATTTTCTTGCCTAAATCTCTGCAATGCTGGCTATAAAACATATTTCTGCAAAGCAAAGTGAGGGAAAACTTTTTTTTCCTTTCTCCTTCGACACGCACATCAGCTCAGTGACAGAAACAGCAAACAGGCCGGCGGAAAATTTATGGTGGAACTTGAAAAAGAATGCTCCATGACAGGCCTCCATTGCAAAAAGCTGATCTGTCTGCGGCAGCATGAGAAAGTTGGGAACTGATTGATGAAGGCCTTTGTTTTTCATTTCCAAGGTCCATACCTCAACAGCCCAAACTGTCACAAAAAAGGTTAGTGGTGGGAGAAAAAAAAAGGAATAAAAAACCTTTTCTTCCTCTTCATGATGCAGCCATTTTTCCTGCAATTGTGTTAAACATATACATCATTAGTTGGAGAGGTTTTATTTCGTTTTATCACATTAGAAATCTGTTAGTGTGTTGTTTATAAAAAGGGAGGCTTTCTTCAGCTCTGCAGCCGTCGTCCGTTTTTTTATTCACCATTTTTTACACAGGAAGGAGTTTTATTTCTTTGTTTACAGAGATTAGAGCAAAGAGCAATGAATAATACCCTTCCGTCTTTTAATAGTCGCCTCTATTCCTAACGTTTAAACATGAAGCTGAGGCGTACTCAGTCATGTGGGTAATAAGAGACCCTTTCTGCAGCGCTGGCTTCAGGACGGCGCTGTACATGCCAGCTCTAACAAAGCCATTGTTAATGACAACAGATGCGCCGAGCGTTGCGAACATCTGCGCCTATCCTGTTCATTAAAACGTTTGCTGTTTAAAACCCGCATGCCTGAGTGTCAAGTTTGTTTTTGTCAAAATAAAAAACAAAAACAAAAGGATATGTTGCCTCCCATCTGCAGGTCTTCTATTGGCCAGAGGTATCCCCGCAGGAGAAGTTTGTGGTGCTTTCTACTTTGCTTGCTGTTCAGCATTTCCACTGCTGGCTTAATGGTGAGTGGATGTTTGATGAGTTTGTTTTCTTCACTCTGACTCCTTTTGATGGTTGAAGGAAACTTATCTGTCAGAATACAGACCATTGTTCTGTTCATTTACCCAGTTAATGAAATAAACAGGCGTAATTAGGTGGAAGCTGCAATTCATTCTGGGAACAGCAGAGGGAGCAAGATGAGCACAGGATGAAGAAGATTAGAAAGCATCACAAGTGAACAGCCAGTAAAATGTCTTACCATTTAATCAAGTTTTATGAAAAGCCTTGTTTTAATTACAAGAGTGATACAAGAGCTGATAAACGCCAAATCTTTACACAAGTGCACTCCATCAAATTTCTAATAGCATGCACCTAAAGGGAAGGAGCTGGTCGAAAGGCCTTTCAGGATTTAATTAAAAAAATCTTTAAAAATTCGGGGAACTGAAGATTAATGTCTGTAACAGCTTTAACATGTTGGTCGTACACAAGATGAGAGATGGTGGTAGAGACCCTGAAGAGCGGCTTGAATTATTAAAACAACCCAGATTGTTCCTGATTGAGATAACGGGAGAAGAAAATGACAAAAAGGTCAAAGGTCCTTTCTGATCTATTTAAACTGCTTTAATTTTTCTCAGTATATAGTATTAGTGGAAAAATCTTAAATTCAGGGTTTATGCAGCACTGCTGCCTCACAGCAAGAAGGTTCTGGGTTTGATTCCCACTTTCTGTATGGGTTGAATTTAAAATGATGTCCAGAGAATTGTGCTGTAAATTAATGAACTGTTTTTAAAACACATTGAGCGTGAATATCTTAAAATCAGGCTTCATCTGTGGTCCTTCTTACAACCATATTGCTGCTTATTAAGAAATTGTCCTTTGAAATGGGAGTATTTTCATAAAAAAACCAAGTGTAGGTAAATATTTCGGTAACAAACCATTTTAATGAACCCTCACTCTTCTTTCTCTATAAAAGTCTTACAGAACAACAACAAAAATCAGCTATATTCAAGTGAAGTATTTAGCTTTCCCTAAGATTATTAATATTTTAACTAGAGCTAGTTGCATGTGGTAATCTGGAGAGCTGTCTGAAGGAGTGTTGAGATTTTATTTCTTCTCTCTCTGCAGGCTTTGTACATGTCAGGTTTTAGAGGACATCTTTTTCTGTTCAGGCCCCTGACCTATGAATCATTTAATCATACGAGGAAATAGAGCTGTTAAGCCTAGAAGGTCAAGGAGGAGGCCTTCCTTATGTCCTGTGAGGGTTAGTTGTTATCCTAAGATTTCTTTAGATTAGATCTGTTGCATCTTTTGATCATTGCAGCTCCGCATTTGTCCCCCATAGACTAGATTTCTCAGTTGTTCACACTCTGAAGAAAACGTTTGAGATTGTTAAACAGAGCCACAGAAGGTTGTAGATTTCTATAAGCAGAGCAGGCATCTGGAAGAAGCTGCCCTTCTCTTATGAAACCAAAATGCAACTTTTTTGCCTTTTTGGTGGTGGCAGCATCATGCTGTGGTGATGATTGTATTTATCCTAACCCTTAATATCAATCTAGAGCTACAATAGAAGAGTGATCTACCCATTCCCACTGAAGTTGATCTATTTTGAAATAAAAACCTCATTCTCTAGATCCCACGTTGCACCATTTCTCTCCATTGCACAATTCAATCCTGGTCTATATTGAAGTTTGTGGATATGAGGTGCCAAACAGTTGAAAGGGCGAGTATTCACTTGAGTTGGTAGATTTTGGATTTAAATTCATAAAGGTTTTAAATGATTAAGAGAGTTTTTATATTTTTTTTTTGGTTTCTTTTATGTGTCAGAAGCGGCTTTACTCGTACTCTTAAACACAAGAAAAATTTTGACACTCGGATTTAAGCCAGTTATTTTTCTTTTTTTTTCTTGTCTGGGATTTAGTAAAAGCTATTTATTAGCTAATCCCCTAAAAATGTTAATATGTTAATCAGTATTGGAGGTTTGCAGATGCTTAACTGGAATTCTGTGAAGATTAGAGCAACGTAATTGGACAGCCGAGGAAAAAAAAGAAGGAAAGAAAGCCTCTGCAAATAAGATGAACACTTCTGCTTGGTTAGTTGCATTTTCCCTGATAGGACCTGATGCAGCTGCTGGTGTTCATAGCATCGCTTAGATAAAGGCTTCCAGTCCAGTTTAAAGGCCTGATCTACTTCATCCTCTGTTTGTTTTTGTTTGGTTTGCTTTAGGCTGGAACGTGGGTGAAGGCTCAGACCTACCCGGGGATCTACGCCTCCTGGGCCGTCATGCTGCTCCTGGTCCTGGTTACCTTGGCCCGGGCCTTTTACTGGGTGTGCATGAGGGTCAGCCAGCCGCTCCAGAACTTCACATAGAGGGCCCTTCGTCATCATCTGCTACTTCCCCACAGAACAGGAAGGACAAAAAAATGGCTCCTAAACAGAATATATATATATTTAATCCAACCCCATGAAGAAGTTCAGCTCCTCCCGTCCCTTCCCTTCTAGTCAGAAATGTTTCCAAAACATGAATGGTGGCAGCTGCGACTGCTCTACATCTACTGGTAACTAGGAAGAGGCTTAGAGCCTGGTGTAACGATGTGCTCATCCAAACATGCGGCCAGTGTGGGCTTCATTTTAACTTTTTAACACTTCTGTTGATACCTTCTGGCACCCCTCCTGCTCCCTGGTTAACGTTCTGAATCCAGACCTTGTAAAACCATTCAGCCTTTAAGATGCAAAGAAACTGTCTGATGAAGGTAATAAAGTCAGTTTAAGCCTCTATTTGTCAATCAAAGCACCAAGGAGCTTTGGAAATGCATCAAAAAAACGATTATTTAGTGGAATTTGTACATAAGCTATGATCCCACCCCCTCATCTTAACGTTTATGTCAAATTATTCCCCTGGGACAGACTTTGATCCAAATCAGCTTGAAAGCCTTAAGAGGAGGTGTGGTAGAAGGATTCAGCACACAGACATTCAGCCACATGACTGCATCATAGCGTCACACAACAGAGGAGCTGCTCCTTTTAGTTTCCAGGCTCCATCCAAGGCAGCTCAGCCTCCCTCTTCAAAGGACGGACCTAAAAGCAGATTTTCTCCTCCGTTTTTTGTTCTTATCTCCGCAATGGAAGGAGAAATGCAGTTGAAAGGGTTTTTTGTTGTTTGATAAGAGCAGAACTGCTAGATTATCTTTATTACTCTTCATCTTGTTTTCTTTTTTTCCCTCCTTATCTTTTAATGCTGTCATTTGGTGTGTTTATATAATAAACAGAGATATTCCCTGACCGTTCCATCACACATTATACTCTTTGTGCATTCAGTTTATAAGGCTAAAGGCAACAATCTTTGGTTATATGGAAAGTTTTCTAACTTTATTTTAGTTGCAGTTTTACACTCTTCAGTTTTCCTTCCTTTTTTTTTTTTTTTCCAAAGATGGAGGCTGAGCTGTCTTTCTTTACAGCCAGGAAAATTTGGTGATATAAACACAATTACACACTGCATACATTTTCACCTGGTTCTGAATGCGTTTCTGTTTTCATTGTTCTGCTTTATGTACAGTGTAATTATTATTTTTTTCTGTTGGATTGTAAATATCTGTGTCGAAAGTGACTAAATGAATCCTGTTAATCCTTTGAGTTTAACACTAACTGCTGTGATTGTACGTTGATTTGTTTTTAAGAGAGTTATTTTTGCAACTCTTCTTCTCTTCTGTATTTAATGTTCTGATTTGTTATTAACCCAGTGAGCCTCCGGACGCCTGGTTGTGTCCAAACGCAAACATTAACACACGTGAATATTTAAGCTCCATAAGCCGAGGATAAGATGAAGGAAGACTAGTTTAACCTGCTGCCATGAGCTGCAATCGCAGACAGCTCATATGGAAGTGTCATGTTATTTATAATTCTCACTGCAAAATGGGATCACTTTTACAGTCCAGTTAATGTTTTTACAGCCTTATTAAGGAGGAATTCTGACATGGAGTGAGGCTTTTTCACCCTTCTCCTTTGTATTTATTTCCAGTACACAAATCTACCTTCTTCTATGATCAGAGCATTTATTTCTAAGGATGAAATGAGGTGAAAGTGATCCTTTTTGCACTGGATTGATCGTGTTTTATTATCTGACTGCAGACTAAAAAGAAATCATGTTAAATTCAATAATCAAGAAGCTGGCTGCTCTTTTCAGAGTTCGTTTACACTCAAATAAAGACATGATAATGATGTACAACGCAGCTGTTCTTTCTTTTTTATTTTGGGGGGGTTGGACCCTTAGAAGACCTGAGTTCTGTAGATCCATTTAAACCAGTTTATGGGCAACTACAAACTGATTTGAATCAGATTGATGCTTTGAATTTATATAAGAATGAAAATCCCACTAATTTCATTTGGAGTGCTCATTAAAATAATAAAAAATATATATGTTTAGTCAGATACCTGATGTGATCTGAGGATCTGTGCTTTTCTCATCTGTGCTAAATCCTGAGATTGCTAAATTCTTAATGTTAAAGCAGAGATCCAGGCATTATTGACCAGTATAGCTCAGCTTGTCCAGTGCGTCTAGTAGCTTTAGTTTTTCATTCTCGGCTGAAAGGCTTGACTCTTTGGTTGGTCCTCTGAAATCCCTCAGCTTCAAAGTTCCAGAGGTAGAAGTGGTATTCAGCGCACCGCAGTAATTTCATTTACTGTTGCATCTCTAGCATCTTGAACCTGTCTTTCCATTTACTTGTGACCTCTTCGATTCGTGCAGCATTTTACATCCACACAGCTTTAGCCTACTAGATGTCTCTCTTCAGACCTTTATAAATTCCTAGTGGTTTCAGTGAGATAATCCCAGTACGTCCGTAGATTCAGATATAATGGTAACGGCAACCATGCCTCATTCACTCTTAATTAAGTTGCTGCCATATTATTCTTTATGCATTACCTTATTACACACTAATAAACATAACTTCATTAAAATGGTTTAAAAAATAAAAAGTAAACTGACCAGCACAGAATAATCTAACATTTTCTTTGGATTATCAAAGATAATCTGAAAACCAAAACCCAACCTTTTCTCATTTTGCAGAACATGCCAGCCTCCATTAGTCTTATCTTCATTTTTTTTTTTTCCCCTCTTCCATCACCGTGAAATGAAAGCAATTCATCCCCCCTCCATCCCCACATGACCGGGCCTTTCTCTCCAAGTCCTCTTGAGTTTCATGCGGATATATTTTTTGCCTGGACACAAAAGAGATGGAGGGATTAAGTACGAGGAGGAACCTTTCAGAAACCACAGCTCCCTGGAGAGAAGCACAACCCAGGCAGGCTGAGGCCAGAGAGTGGAATAGGTGAAGAGAGGGAAAAAAGAAAGAAAGAAACTGAATGAAAAGCTTTCAGGTTCTTAAACGAAAGGTAGCATCATTCAGTCACACGTGGATCCACACTCTGCTTTGGAGCCATTTTGTTGTAAATTTATTGACTTAATTTTTCATTCATGAAATTATCCTTCTTTACCTCTGAAGAGAGACGAGCCATATCTCCACTCAGCTTTTATTCTCTCCTCTGTATTGATAGCTTTCCCCCTGTGAGATACTCTGCTGACAATTCAGCTGATGCGGCACTCACAAAACGCCATAAAGCAGGGAGGAGAAAGGGAATCTCTCATGTAAATCATCTCGCTTGTTCCTAACTCGGATTATTACGGCCAGCCCTGCAATGAGATTTCATTATACGGCAACCGGTTACAGCAGGAGGTGCAATATTTTGTTCTAGGAGAGCTGATTATGCCTTTTAGAGCACCTCTTCACTGCTTTGGGGCACATTTATTCATTATTATACTAACAGCATGATGTGATTCTTTTAAGATGTAGTAACGCTATCATTTCATTGAATCTTTTATCGTGCACATTTGAAGGAGATTGTATTATTCTGAGTACTTGAATCCCACATTTCAGATTAATTTTAGTGTTAGCAAATATTCCAGCTCTAAAAATGGGCTGTGTATTAATATATTGGTTTATGTTTTTCTCAGATTTTTAATAATAAATAGGCGTTAGAAAGATGTATTGAGTGAATAAAGTCACACCAACACTCAGGCCCTGGGTTTAACTGATAAGGATAAATGTTCATTATGTATTAATTCCACACAGCAGAAGGCCTCTGGGTTTTCACATAAGGTGATCCAAAGAAAGATCAAAAGGACTCTGCACAAAAGAACTGTTTTCACATGTTTATCCAGCTGCAAACTGCATCGGCTACAGTTAAAACTGCCAACCAATCAGATTATGTTGAAGAAAAACTAATCTGCAGCATGACACCTTGCACCTGAAGCAAGTTGGAGCTCAAAATATAAACCTTCTTGTTACTGAACATACATTTACGATTTATCACAGCGTCCTGAACAAGAACAACTAAAACGGGATAAATAAAGACCCTGTTAAAGTCGTAGGTATATTAAATTCGTATGCCAAATCATTCTGGCTTAAAAATGTATATAAATGTGCTCTTGATCAGATGATATTGTCCCAAAATTTAGAACATTTCTGTTTTAAAAAAAAATCCTGCCTTAAAAAAGTTAG